AAAAAAAAAAAACTATCATCAATATTGCCATAATTCTAAAGAAAATATAGGCATTCACGTATACATAACGTAAAAATTTAAGTTTTTTTATTCTAATATTTAAATAATATTCGAATATTTTTTCAAATAATTTTTAATTTTTATAAAAGATTACTTTCATAAAACAAAACAAAAAATTCAAAGAATGATATCGTTGAAAAATTGAATGACTTATAAAAGATTGTGACGAGAAAAATCCAGGTAACAAGGAATTTTGCATCTATCTCCAAAAATTATAAATATGATAAATATAAACTTTTCCAGACATGATTTTCTTCTTTTAGCAGTGACAATTAATCGTCGCAGATCGGTGAAGAGATCCATTCGATAAAGAGATGGAACATGCTTCAAAAAAATTCCAAAAAACAGGTGGCGAGATTTATTGCTGCGATCTAATTGAATCATGCATTACGGAAAATAAGAACGGTTAAAGTCGTTCAATTATATAATAATTGAATTAATATCGCAATATTTCTCAATGTTTAAATTAATAATGAATTTTAATATACTTTATATTAATGTTAGGATTTAGTTGTAAATCTTTTGGCTCGAGTTTAATTTTTATATCCTAATTATTACAGAGAAGCATGGATACGATGTGCAATATTTTATCTGGGAAATAGCCGTATCATGAAAATGTTCAGATACGGACCAACTAATTTTCGACATACGTGTAAGCGAAACAGAATCGGTGATTAGTCAATTATGTCTTTCCTTTAAAAATTACAGCAGATTTGGAAACGTTTTTATTCGTACGCGTGATTAGATTTCCTTATTGGAGGTCAAAATGTCAGCCAAGTATCAATTCCTGTTGGCAAAATATCAAAATGCGAGCATATAAGAAAGACAATAAGCATCAGCATGAAAATCGAGCTAAAAACTGCAACTAAATCCTATCTCTGCTATAACAAACATTAAATTGTTATCATTTCCAATAATATGATACTATAGAGAATTATTATAAAACTTTGCTCTTATTATTGTAAAATATGTCACGATGATTGAAATGTCGCAATTATTTCAGAGTCGCTTTCAAGACTACAGTTATACTAGAAATTTCGACTTTTCATGGCAGCCCCATGGATTTTCCAAATAATCCAAATAACTTCAATATTAAAATTAATCTGAGTAAATTTCCAGAATCTCGATCCTCATTCTACATTATTATTCCCTCCAATTCGTATACATGATTCAATTGCAACGATTAATCGCTACTACAATCGGCCTGAAGTCCAAGGGAAGTGTGTACCTACATATCTATAGGCAAGCTTTCGGTATATTTCGTGCAGATAAATAGAGAGAGCACTATGTAAGTTTCGCACGCGCTCTCGTATGAATATAGTATGTATGCATATGTATGTATGTGTGTATACGTGTATATCGTGCATCATGTATGTGTGTATATGTGTATATCGTGCATCATGTATGTGTGTGTGTGTGTGTATATGTGTATAACGTGCACCATTCTATATTGGATAAGTCGACCAAAATACAGAGATATTTTGATGTAGATTGTGGAAGCGAGATAACCGATGATTTGTTACCGCGGTAAATTCCACATGAAGTTAATGCTTTCGATTAAAATGACGTCCATTCCTTGAAAAATCAAGGATATTGTTTGATTCACGTATTTTTGTGTTTTGCGTTAAATTTTGAAGACTTATAATTATATTTAGAGGCGTTATTATGTCTCTAATTATGAAAAGAGAGAGAAAATATTCTTTTAGCTTATCATTTTGAAGTTCTTGAGGAATATTTAGTGGTAAATAGTTGGTAAGTAAAAAAGAAGGAAACACAATAAAAAATTGATAAATAAGATTTAATTAATAAAAGTTGTTCAAGTTTAAGTACTTTTGATAATAATCTAAAAAAATTTTTTTAATTTCCTTTTTTATCTCTTATAGTTAGTTTTAGCTAGATAAATATTCTAGATAGTGTTACTTATATGTATATTACTTATATGTATTGCTAGAAAATATAGCTAGTAAAAACAGCGGTAATATATTATACAGTTATGATATATTATAACTTTATTAACTCATGATTAATCAGCCATTAGATTCAATTTTTACTAAAATAACGCTGTTAATTTTACTTTGTAGAAATGGATTAATAAATAAATATTGTTAACGATTTAAGTAATTCTTATTGCTAAATAAAATCTTGCATCTCGAGTTGTTATTTCCTCGAATTCTGAACTACCGAAATGTTTACGTTCTACAGAAATATCTTGTCAGAAAGTTTTGTTAGAAAAGATCGTAAAATTTCACACACTACATATGTTTACATTATGTTTATATATGTATTTATTAAAAAATGTGTTTGAGTCACCATTAATCTTATATAAATGACTGTGTTAGTCGATTCGCGAAAGGCAATATTTGATATGGAAATGAAGTTGAGAGTACTACATTTAACACCATGACAGTAATTGATAAGTGAATACTCTGTGGAACAGAATACGAGAGGTACAATAAAAAATATCGTTATCTTGAATTTTGACGCATAGATATCAATGCAAAAATAAATTTTAGCAACGCTGAATTGCAGCGCGAAGAAAGGGTTTAGCTTCATGAGTAGAAAATAAAAGTACTATTGAATAGTTTAGATATTTGTTTATAAGCATATATAAATGATGTATGATATATTACATATATATGCCTTGCTTTTTCAGTAATAATATTATTGCAATCATGTTTGTACGTATCATAATATATACGCCTTGAATTCCATTATTTTACGAACATTATTCTGATTAACCACAACTCTCGCCGGAATGTTAATAAGTTTGGTATACTTATAGGCATGCTTCACGCGATTTTCGTGCAGGCAAAGGGAAGTTTATCATGATGAATGATTCACAAAGATTGTCGAAGTAAGATATGCAAAAGTGAAATATTTTACATTGTTCATGCCTTAAATGTCAGCGGTTGTTCGTCAATTAATTTTATGAGGCATTTAAAAAATCAAAACTTTATCTGATAAACAGGATTCGTTGATAAAATCTATAGAGGCGAAATGTAGAAATATACATTTTTATTTATCGCAAATAAAATCAAATTTATAAAACAAATTCATGCAAATAATTAAGCTTTTCGTTCCCGGTTTTATCAGGCGACATGAAAAGTTCGATAATGATTGCGATTTCATAATGATGTAGTCATCAATGATTATTTTCAAACTGAAATATATAATAACTATTATATTATGTAAAAGTCAAAGCGCGATATTAGAAAAGCATCGCGTTAGGAGAATGCGAGTATTGAAAAGGAAAAAGAATAAAATCGCTAAAAAAAAATGTAATTTTTTGCGACATCTAGTTTATCAATAATTTACCTATCTATCAACAGTAAATCGTTCGAAAAGTCCTATCGGTTTTGCATAAACTCGTTAAAACTTTTTTATAGGATTGAAAAGAGCTTAATGTTTTTTGAATCTTCAAATATTTGAACTTTTTATTCTAGGAGCGTTCAAATATCTAAATTGTGATATCTAAAGAGACTATGAATAAACCGAGAGAACTTCCACAAAAACTTGATGCTTCCAATTAACTGTTCTCACTGTTCACAATATCTCTCTCCAGAAATAGAAATTCTATAAATAATTATACGTTTGCGATTATGTCTAATATCCCTTTTAAAATATACGGAAAATACGTAATACATATAAATTATGCAAAGTATTATAAATACATATTTTTATAATACATATACAAAGTCTTGGATAATAAGCGGAACCGTTCTTGTAAGAAGATGCAACTAGTTAAGCTGAATGGAAAAGTCTTGTATCGTTTCGTAATTTTCAGTAGAATAATTAATAAGAAATTAAATAATAAAGATCTATGAACGTACATTCGCACGACAACAGTAAATAAGTACACGACTATATGCAAGGTAGCGTACGTATGTTCATATGCTCATTAAATTTTGAAACGGACAAAGTCAATTTGACCTACATTTACAATTTAAGAATTAATTATCGTTGGAAATTAACTATCAAATATTGCAGATTAATCGTTAAATAAACAATAACATTTATAATTAGTAAATACGCAATCGTGTAAAACGTCATAAGGATATTTTTATCGATATTTCTATCGAGACGCATGATTAGTTACATACATCCTATTTTCTTCCTTCACAATTATATTTTTAATTATTAAATATTTAAAAAACGTGTAATAAATAATAACCGAGCATCAAATAAGTGCTAATAGTTATGATTATATATATTAGGTGTTGGAATTAATTCGTAGCGTTTTACAAGTGATGGGAAGTACTTTCATTAATGTATTTTTTAATGCTCATGTGAAATAAATAACATTCTTTCATTAAAAACGCTACGAATTAATTCCAACACCTAATATATATATTATTTGAAAATTCAAATTTTATAAAAAAAAGCGAGCAATCTCCAAATGTCTTTTTTATTTATTAATACAGTTTTGCATGATCATCGAGAATGGATTAATAAACATCCCAATAATGATAAATGATTGTAACTTGATTTTCAATAAAGGAAGGGAGGCCAACTTCACATAACTGCGCGCTTACATTCGTCGCTGAATTGCGCGGATGTACATTCATCCGCATATTTCCATTAATTAATTTCTCATTAATTATTGTAAAAATCGTAAAACGATATATAGTAAAACGGTACAGAACATTTTCTATTTAGCAATTTAATTCGTTATCTGTTTACAGAAAATGTTACATTCATTCACCAGAAACTCTGTGTATATACAAAACATAAATTTTAATAAATTTATACTTTGAGATAAATATTACGTTTATAATGAAATTGACATTTAGCAACAAGCCTCTTGGTTAGTCAGCAAATTAATGGCAGATACAATAGCATCTGGGCAAGGAGAAGGGAAGGGGGAGTTTCTCCGGAGAATGAGCGAAAACAAATCGAAATAAAACCTGGGCATTTGCGTAGCTCCGAGTCGTTCATCTTACCTTCGCTGTTCTCATCCTCTGTTGACTTGGCCGATTGTAGCTTCGCGCTTGGTTGCTTCGCTGCAATCAAAATTCGCAGCTGGCACCGCGTTCTCTCTTTTGTTTTTCTCTTACTTTTCTTTCCCTCCCCCCCTCTATCTTCGATTTTGCTTGATCGATTGATTTTCCGTCATAATCGATTCCGGCATAACCCTTCTTCATCTCAAGGCCGGTAGAAAAATTCCAAAACTATTGCGTGCTTATCCAACTATTGAAATTTATCGAGATTTTTCCCCCGAATGTCAAATTCTATTTTTGACTATATCACGAGATATCGATAACGAATTGAAGTAAAAGCGACGATTCATACTTTTTTTATATAAAACAAAAAGAGGGCTAGACCATTATTTCCGTTGAAATTTCTTCAAAAGTCGACATGTATGACACTTTTTTAAAACTCTAGGTGGTATCATGAATATATGAAGTGGTGGTATATCATAATAAATATCTAAATATAATATTTTCCATATGACACTCACAGAGAAATTTTTACAACTAAGATTTACACGCGTACTATTGTTTCATAATCGTGCGAAGTAATTAAATTTGATCATGAATCCGCGTTCATTTGTTTGATAATATAAAAACTAAACAATCATGATACCACTGGCGATACTATGGATGAATTAAATCTATCGATTACGCGTAAAAAAAAAGAAGAAACGAAAGATTGCTTGCGAATAAAGATCACACGGATAGGGGGAACGGAGTTCAATCGTCCACAATGCATGTCGATTTATTTCATTTTTCAAGAGAGACCGGGGAAACCTGAAACGCCGTTGACGAGATGAGAAAGTCAATGGCGTGGAATTTATTGCGGCCAAATTGCCTTACGCGAAACGAGGTCGCGAAAGATCGCGCGAGATCGTGAACGATTAAATTCGAGCGACGACTAGCTGAGAAATCGACGATCGGTGGAAATCGAGGTGGAAATAGATTTCAACATGGTAATAATATTCGCAATTATTGAACCTTTATTAGAAATTCTATTATCTATCTTTTTTTAATCTACTTTTTAGATATTTTATAAACTATATATTCTTTGTATGTTGTTAACAACTTAAAAATTGCTTTAGTAATAACAATAATGAAGTGAACTGAAGTAAACAAAAAAGCTACAAGTAACATTTGTCTTTCTGATTCAATGTAAATTTAAGTAAACATGGACACTTCGAATTGAATTAGCCGTCTGTTTAATATGAAGCAAATTTTGATCTCTATATCAACCATTGTCGTTGAAAGACACTTTGTATTCTCAAAGATTCTCGAAATTCCTTGAATCATATGAATTCCAAACAAGAATTGGAGGAAATTCATTACATTCATTAAATTCGTAGTGTACTTCAAATATTTAAAATTAAATAACTAAATATTGTAAATATATTATTAAATGTATCAACTGTAAACAATTAAATAAAGGTTATTGCATCTATCATTATAGTATAGAAATATAAAAAAATATTATATAATAAAATATTTTAGAACGGAAATTTTTATGCGAATAACGTAGCTATCTGCAAATATAATTTTGAACAAGGCCGCAAGAACCGCATTTTCGCGTTTAATCGCGCGTTACCGAGATACTCGATCGAGTGGAAACGAGGGGGATTCACCGATTCGATCGACAGCTGACGTCTGCTCTCGAAAAATGAGCCGGGAACGAATTTACGTTACCGGCAGGGAAAAATGCATATCTACTTTGACTTATAAGCGTTCACACAAAAACATCAGTAAGGACAAAGTGAGAATAACATTGAGAGAACAGGTATATGACAATATGTATCGTAATACGCTGCTCTAAAAATATATCATGACATACACAATATCGAAATATAAATAGGATCATCCCGCAATTTGCGATTTTTTTAATTTGAATGACAGAATTCTTGACGAATTTGAAGTCGATTTTTTCATAATAATAATTTTTAAAAGATATCTATTTAATGTAACATTTCGACTTCCAATACATGTTTTTATAAATTTCAAATTGGAATTTTATTAATGTGAAGCTCATTTGAAATTAACTGAAGGAATTATAGGTCTCAAGAGTTCTATGATCTCTTGAGACTTATAATTAATTTGTAACGAATTTTATAACTGAATAATTTTAAGACACCTCAATATTTTTTTTCAAAAAAGCAACTCTAAATTCATTAGATAATCTGCCATTAAAATCGCAAATTATATGGGGCGCTCTCTATATATGCGTGTATATATAAATATGTTACACAAAAAATAATGCATTGTATATATATCGTAATAAAATCGCGATAATAATGTGTATGAAGTGAATGGGATGTGGAGAGCGAGTGCGTTAATAATAATAATACGAATAAATCATTAAAATCATTAAAAACACTAAAAATACGGAGAAAAAAAGTAAAAAGTTCTCTCCGCGAGTAGGTGGCCGCTCTCGAGAGCGTATATCGACATGAATATTTTCTTTTTTCAATTAAATAATGATTGAAATATTTTTATTAAAATTAAGAGTAACTCACGTATGTCTGTGTAGAACAGAGTCGATAAATGCGTGAGATAAATCAATTTACGCTCGAGTGACTTGAAAATTCTCTAATCGTATCAAGCCTAAACAATATGAGTGTAAATCCCCCAATCATTGTAGATTCCTTCCTTAATTTTTAAAAATATAACTCATATATTTATCAATTTATCAATGCACCTTTTTTCTTTTGGAAAATTATCCTTCAAACATAATCACTCGTAATAAATTTTAAAACTTCACATAAGAGAAAATTCACTGCTTATTTTGTGTGTGAAATACCACGTCACATCATAGCACGCGTATTGGTAAACTTTTTGTTTTCTACCGGTGAATAAGCTATTTTATTCCGTTTAGGATTAATGTTCGCTAAATATAACGGAAGTAAAAATACTATTCTGTTTAATTATCGTACTTACTCGATGGTGGCGGCTGCGGCGCGCGTCGCACAACTGTATGCTCCTGATGCGGTCCTGTGTACTCGTGCCATGTGTACGTGCTCCTGTATTCCGAATGAAGCTGCTGTAACATTAACACGCAATTTGCTCTTAAAAGTCACGATAAAAATACTCTATGATTGTATATATAAATGTAGATATGTTGAATAATATAAAAAACTATTATACATTAATTTCATATTATCACGAATTTAATATATTATATTAATTATAAATTTCTAAAATAGTTTCAAAAAAATATTACATTGTTTTTTTGATATAACGGCATGTTCACAAAATGTTCACAGAAATGAATCGAAGCTATTATAAAAGGCTTTAGAATTTTAATTAAGAAACAATATTTTTTTTATTATAGAATAATTTAATTCAATAATTGCTAAATTGATAATATTTTTGAAGCTCTTTCACAAATATTTTTTTTCAGAGCATTTACAGAGGATTATCGTCATATCGTGATCTATTGCGCTAATTACTAAATTTATTAATTATAATAAATTTTAATTTATTTAATAACTTTAATTACTTAATAAAAAATGTAATAAATTAAAAATTTTTTTCCATTATTAGTTATTTATAAAATTACATTAATTATGAAATTTTGTAATAATTATACAAATTTTATTCTACATTTTTTTACTTATTTTTTTCATAAAGAATTTGGTTTTTTTGTTTTCAATTATATTACTAGTTCGGAGACAGTATATATTTTTAGCATGGCCGTCATTCACTGTATCAATTAAAATATATTGCAAGGTTTCGGTAGATAAACGGATCGATGGTTAAGGCTTCCCTAATCTATTCGAGAAAATACAAAGTTCGTTATATATTTCACGTCAAATGTAATTATTTTTATCCAAAGCATTAATAAATAGTGACGAAATATAATTAAATCCATCAAATTCCCATAAAAAATTATTATCTATAATACAATTAATAAATACATTAATTAAAGCTTCCTCAAAGCTATTTATTTCTTATACTTGTTTTTTTTTCATGTATATTTGCACTAACTCCCCTCTCATTTTGAAGAATTTATTTTTTAATATTTTTTAATATTTAATTATTTCCAATAATTTTCGTTTTCATACAAATGACAGAATTTAATTTGTTAAGCAAGTAAAAAACTAACATTCTGATGAGTGCTTGATAATGTAAAACAAATATAGGTAGACTTTCAAATAATAAACAGTATACGTTCTATCGTGAATCGCGCACAAACGACTATTGATTCTTCGACGTTTATTTATTAATGGCAATGTGGGACAACGTTAACCTTTATCGTAGATCGCCGCGCCCAAGCACTTCACATATTTCTTGTTTCTTTTCTTTTTTTAAAACCATAAAAAATAGAAAACTACGGAAAAAATCCGATACACTATTATTGGTTCGATCACTTAATTTTATAACATAAACCAAAATGAAAGTACAGTATAATAATAAACCAAAAATTATATAATAAAAATTCAAAAATTATCTTTTCAAAAAAAGATAAAAAAACCGTCAAGTCATACATTAGTTGCAAATATATTACATTGTTACATATACATACTTACAACGTTGTAAGAGCATTTTCTTATACAAAAATAAATTTAAAAAACATATTTAATTTTAAGTAAAAAAATATTAACGTGAGACAATATTACAATATTTTTGTTTAAAGAAGTTCTAAACATATTCGAACAAAAGATCGAACAGGTCACTCTATACATTACTACAGCAATGTCGCACGTACACATAACTACAAGAAATTTTCACGCAACCTTTTCTCTTGTACTAAGCTCATTTCTAAAAGCATAGTATTGTTCTTTCTTATCCCAAATTAAGCTTGTTTTATACGTACAAAGTATAAAACTTTTATATAAAAGCAAATGTAATTACGAATCAACGCTAGAAATCGATAACAAAACTGTAATTTTCAAATTTTTATAGTTTTTCGTATGAAATCGTTTAGTCCGAATTATTGTTCATATTTTAATTCCATAGAAGGATTTTTAAATCTGTAGATGTAATACATCTACAAAAAAGTAGTATAAAAATTTTTCCGTTTGATCGTTAAAAATTACAAAGTTGCGTCGACAAAAATAAAATTTCACTATGTATATATAATTCACTGTATCTACTACATTATTCACTATTCAATTCTTTCATTATTTGCTTTGATATTAAAAAATATTATATACAATAAATAAAATATACGTGGTTCTTTAATATTATGAAAACAAGTTTTTAGAAAAATATGTAATATTTTGAAACAGAATATTTCCATAAAAAATTCTTGGAAACAATCAGATGTTTTATTGGATCAAAAGACAACCAAAAAAATTAAGTAATAAAACAAAAAGTAAAAGTAAAAGTTATTCAAAAGATATATAAAGATTTATAAAAATATATTTATCATAAAAAACATGATGCTATTAGAATAGTAGTTAATATCATAATAATTAATATAATATATAATTATGGTTTATATATTTGGGATTCAACAGCACTGGAATGTATAAATTTTACATCCCTGTGCTTCGAAATTGTAGTTCTGTTAGAAGTTCTGGATTATTTAGAACAAAAGGAAGAGTTCCAGATAGTTTTAGAAAAAGTTTCGTTCAATGTAACACACACAGCGGTGCATATATAAAACTTGTTAGATAAAGAAAAACGAAATGGTTGACTACTAAAGTGATCCATAATTTTATGAAAACGATTACAAGAATAATTTAGGACTACTATACTTGATTATTATACTTAGTTTGGAATGTTTTTGTTCGAATAAGTTAATTTTATTATTATATTACTATATTTACAAAGCGATTTCCAATTATATGGATTGATATTAAATCTAATTATGTGCTATAATCTTACAAATTGATTGAATGCAATTAATAGTTTTGAACAATCATCATCATCATCGATATCACCAATCGATGGACTACAAAAAACTCCATTGCGAAAATTCTTGCATATCATTTTATTACGAGCATGCAAGGCTTGATCGTTAACGTATTCTTTATACGTCAAACTTATAAAAAGACGTCGCATGGATAATTATGACAAATGTTCCTCAAACATATTTTTTTATAAATTTGGATTGTGCATTATATCTTTGTTCATATTGTGTAGAAAAAGAAAAACACTTCTTATGCAATCGGCGCTATTAGTTGAGTCCATTATAAACTTAACCGTTTATTATTGAGACACAACTGTTTTTTGATAGATATCACGTGGAGTAGTGAAAGCATATGTAAAAATAAAATAAAAATTCATAATGATACAATTCTATCCAGTAGTCCGCAGCGTGTTCGAAAATTATGATACGCGTCGATTAAATGGAAAACCGTTGATCGGAAAGGAAAGGTGGTACGATTCATAAACAAATTCTGACACGAACTCGAGACAATAAGACAATAAGCGCACAAAGTTCTTGCGACATTGCACGGCTTCTCGCAACACGTCGATTCCGTCCATTGAAATCATTAACAGGGACTCGCAAGTGATCACAGTATAACGATGAGAAGTTAAATGGAAAAGCGAAATGCAAATAGATATGCCTAAAACTATCTGTAAAACTTTTAGATTTTTATTTTAATTGTGTTTGGAATAGGTATATAAGATTATAAATGGAATATGAATAAAATATTACATACGAAAGAGAAGATTAGAAAATAGATAAATATGATAAAAATTTCCTAGATTGCAAAAGAATTGAACATAATTTTGTATTTGTTTTATTATGGATATTTATTTTATAATATTTTGTCACATATGCTTTATTATTCCTTGATATCAACTTTTCTTTCATATTTCTGTTTAATATTTGATATCAAATTTTCCTAATGAAAAAATAGAAGTCCAGCTGAAAAAAATCGAACAAGCTGTTTTTATGATAATCTTTAAGAAAGACGGCAATTAACATGATCGCACCTTTTTTTAATTTAATTTCAAGTGGATTTTCCTTTAAAATAACGAAATTCACTTAAAATTTCAGTTCGAACTTCAGTTACAAAGTTATATAACGTTAAAGTTAGAAAGAGAGATGCGATAAGCAACTTCCCTCGGCATTTTCGCTAAAAGTTGTTTTCAGATCGAAGAAGCTATATCCGAAACACGATCTAATGATTTTGAGATACTCTATACACACAGAATAGCTTTGCAGGAATTCTCTGTACTTCTAATTCGGGTAGGATAGATGAGTAGAGAGCAGACAAGCGAGAGAACGGCTGTCATCCAGAACGATCTTCGTTAAAACTTCCCGACAGTTCTCTCTCGCATCGCATGAGCCGTAATGTGTGTATGTGTTTTCTATTTACTCCTATGTATTTCCCTCGTGATGTAGCCAGGCAATTTATACGATGCTGCAACCGATCTCTTTCCATACGTATATGACATAATAAAATATATAGCAATTTTAGAAACAATGACTAACTAATGCTTCCATTAATACCGAATGAATTAGGTATTTAATATTTTAGCACGCGAGGAGCCCAAATTTCATTGACCTTAACAGGTTATATTTATTACCGCAATTCCGGTAAATTTTATCTTAATCTACAGTCGCGAATAAACAAGCGCGGAGCAAACTGATGTATAATTTAAGTTGTCGATAAATAAATAAGTAATCAAAGCTGATTTCATCGAATATCATTAAAGTGGATGAATTGTGGCTCATTATGAATAATAAAATGGAAAGGTCAACGCCCATTATTTATTCACATATTTAGGAATTTTCCCCTGGATCTATTTACGTATATTTTTTTCTTTTCTCTATCGGTTTTCCTGTTCTGCCAAGTTATATCACAAGTAATTCTCGATCGATCGTACTTCGATGGAACAAGAAAATCTGGTTTCTCGAGCGAATGCACCGATCAGACGTCAACATGTGATCATCGACAACATGTAACCTAATCCCGTCCCTTCTCTCGTTATATGTTCTATCATCTTATACCGTTATCTTTCGGGGACACTTATCATTGACAACGAATGTAGATAAATCAAAATCGTTATAATACCACACAACAGTGACATATAAAATATTCTCTAGTGACAAAAAATAAAAATAAAAATTGGTTGGTT